GATGGATGGATTAGATTGGATGGATGGATGGATGGATGGATTAGATTGAATGGATGGATGGATTAGATTGGATGGATGGATGGATTAGATTGGATGGACAATGGATGGAAGTTTATTAGTTCAGAGTTTATTCCACCAAGTTGTATTATCCTTTTATCTGATGGTCCTATCATCGTTACAAACTTTAGTACGGTGTAATTCTAAAATCATTTAAAAACCGTTCTGTAAAATCTCCTCCAGGGTGAAGTTTTACAGTTTAACATGTAGTTTTAGCTCCTCGTGGGTTCATGTGTTTCTGCTCTGACTACATCTTGCTCCAAATGATTTAATGGAGATTCTTCCTTCATAAAGTTCTTACCATCTGCTGCTTCATACAAACATAAAGGAGCAGAGCAACCTTAATGTAGATGAATTAGACATCGTGCATGGTAGAAGTACATTGAAGTAACACTTTGCTGTCCTCTAAATGTCTGATGCTTTGATTTATTTTTATTTTACTGCAGTTTTTCTTTCGGCGTATTGTGCGTTCCATGAACGTGCCATCTGCTTTGTGTTGCAGAATGGTGACAACGATCATCCAAACTGTGTGGGCATCGAAGGAGTTCTGGAGGCTTATTTCCAGAGCCTGAGGACGGTGCAGCTCTACGGACCAACCAACTTTGCACCTGTCATCAACAAAGTAGCAAAGTAAGCTCATTACTGCAAATGTTCTTTTAGAAGAGATGAATATTTATTTTTGCATTTGTTTAATTAAACTAATGAGGGCCAGTGTTTTCATCCTCGAGGGGACAGCTAATTTGCTCCGTTTTTACTTTAATGTGTGAGTTTTACAGATCTCATTTGTGACATGAATCAGAAACTGCAAATTAGAGGTTTATTTGTGAAACATTAGATTAAAATAAGTGAACAATTTAAGGATTAAGGAGTTTGTGGTTTAATATAACATATTCAGTGCACAACGCGGATCAAGTTATGATTATTTAGTAACATTTAATAAATGATTTCAGGCTAAATCATGTTTTCATTTTGTTTGATTTAGGACCCCAAATTTATTATAAAAAAAAACAAAAACAAATGAGTCTCAACTAAATCTGACTGATGTCATTTATTTTTTCATCCATCGGTTTACCTAAAGTTTTTTAAAATAGTTTTTTATTTTCCTTAACACGGAAATGAAAAGTAGACGATCACACAAACGTGAGAACAAGATACAGAGTTGATTTATTGTAATAATAATTCTCTAAATTTAAAATTGTTACAGGAGTAATGTAAATAAAGTTCAAAACATGAAGATGGAAGTTTTAAAGATACTGTAGTATTATATTGATATAATAAATTGTCTTTATTAGAAAAGCTAAATTAAAATAAAAACTACAACAACAAAAAAAGCCCTCAGGTACACTTATTATAAATAAAACATTACTACTTTTGCACTCCTGTCCTGACCCAAAGCCATTAAAATATTTAGCTACAATATATTATTTAGCAAAGGTACAACAGTTAAATTTAAGTATTGCCCTTTCAAGCTTGAAAAACTTTAATGGGTTTACATTAAAATAGTTTGGGGCTTTATTTGCTCTACGTGAGCGTGCTGTATTCCTTCATAAACCATGTTGCAGAGTATTTTTTAACAAAGTTTGGAGACTGAATATTTAAGGATGTCTGGGATGAGGAGTCATTTGTATGAGGAGGAGGAGGAGGAGGAGGAGGAGGAGGATGTGTGCAGAGCTACTCCAGGGCAGGCTGTGTTATTTGCACAAAACTTAATGAAGGTAAAAACACACACAGAATGTTGTAATATTTTGGGCTGTAATGAAGCTCTTCTCTAATCTGGAGTGTGCTTATTTATTTTGAACCCTCATCAAAAATGTTGACTTAATCAGGATTAATTCTGGTGCTGGTTTTAACTTGTTTTCCTGCTGGGATTCTGGTGCACAATTAAATTAAATAGTTTACATAATTTTTCTTGTGTTTTTTTTTTAACAGTGTTGCATACTTTTACCAGTAAAATTGCCTACAGAATCCCACAACACGCAGAATGACAGCATGACATTTATTGGTAATAAAAGAAGTTCGAAGTTAGCGGGCAAACAGAACACTGTAGAGATCACATTTGCAGACCTTAGATTAAAATTTGAGAAGGTTTTTGATTTAATATCGTTCACTTCCACAAGACAATGGCAATTTATGTTGTTTTGTTCCAATCTGTGTGTGGTTGTGTTGTTAGCAAAATATCACATTATCCACCAGGCAGAATTAATAAAACATTCAGAAAATAAACAACTGATGTACATCTACAACTACCGTAATTACCGGTCTATAGAGTGCATCCAAATGTAAAAAAAAACAAACAATTTTGTACAGATATAAGCCACAGGTGTTCACATTGTAACATGATTGGCAGCATGCAGCTGCTGAGAGAGATGTACAGCTCTTGTTGTAGATCAAGAATCAACCACCACATTCCTCCCTGAGGCCATGTGACCGGCAGCCAACCACAGCAGAATGCTACAATATTTATTTATTTATTATATTTAAACCTTTATTTTACCAAGAAAGAAATCCATTGAGATTATTAATCTCTTTTACAGGGATGTCCTGACATAAATAGAGCATTAATATGTACCAGTAACATATACAAATACGTAGAGTAAATATTATTTTTTTCCTGAACAGTGCCGGTAACAGGGTTGGTTAAAATAAAAAAAATACAGTATCCTATCAGGAAGTCATTGATCACTATATTCCTCCAGCTGCAAGCTTGTGCTTCGGAGCAAAATTGCTCTGTGAGCATGTGAGACTCACATGCTCTGCGCATGCAGGGGAATCCCACCTCCCGTTCTCCTCCGCTCCCCATTTTATTGGTTCGACTTTGACCTGTTTGGTAATTTCATTGGTCAGATAAAAAAAAAAAAAAAAATCTTTATTTATACAGGTAGTCTCATCAAGACACGCCTCTCTTCGGGGGTGGGTCCTCTTGACGCAATGAGACTACCTCATTAGTTAATTGTAGTTGACTGCTGGTCACATGGCCTCATGAAGGGATTATGGGTAAAATTTATGTTCATTGCTAATCATTTTGGTTAGCTGATTAGCATAGTTTTTATTGTGATTAGTCTGTTCTTGTTAGCCTGGTTTGTGTTCATTATGTGTTCAGTAGAATAACCGTGAGTGAGAGAGGTGGTTGTCATGACGATGTGTGGGGTTCACTCTGTCTGTGTGTGTCACGAGGACCCACCCCTCAAGAGAAACATTGATTGGGCAGCTATGTGAGCACCTGGGTGAGATGAAGCTAAATGTTTTTGGTGGCAGGAAGCTCGTTCACCCGCCAAAAAAATAAAAACCCATAGCTGCAGCATTTCATAAACTGTAGGGTTCAAAGCCTGTGAAAAAAGTAACGGCTTACAGACCAGCAATTAAAGTAATTAACTTTTTGAGTCAACCCAGTTTACCATGGTTGCCACAGCCAACTGAACTATAAAAACAAACAAATGGCTATGTCATGCAATTTTTCAGATATTGTGCTACAATTTGGCATGGTGTTAGCTGAAAATCATCCCCAATATAACCTTTGAACATGACATTGTGTGATTTTGCTAAAGGTTGTGTATATTATTATTTCTATGGTTTGACTGGAATGGCGGCAATGCTTCATGATCTTAATTTTAAACTCTCAGATAAAAAGTATCTGGCAATATGCTTTCCTTTAAAAAATGTTAGAACATTAATTTTGACAGCTTTTGGACGGCTTATTGTGGCATACAGCAAGTTTTTTGTTATTGTTCTGACAAATCCAGGAAATGTTTTGTAAAGTAAACTCTGGTAAACTCAGTTGTTTCCAGTAAATCCTCTGAGTGACGTTAGACTTCTTCTCTGGGTATGTTCCAGTCGTACACGTTTTTTTTGCATTGCAGCTTGTTTACATCGAATTCTCCCGTTGGGAAGTGGAGACCATTTCTCATCCCTGTATTTCTGGTTGGAGCCTGATCTGTGATTTACATTCACAAACTGTTGGGCTGTCTCCTAGATTCATCAAGCAAATGCTTCTTTTGTGTCCTGCAGTCCTCTATTTTAGAGCTTGTTAGTTTGCTTGCAGAGTTACTTTGACGTTGAAGACCTTTAGAATGTATAGATAACTAGTCAACGTTGTACAATACTCTCTGCTACAACAGCTAATTCAACGTTTGGATTTAGAAAAGTCGAGGCAGAGAACTCTTCAGCTAAAATCCCATGAACTCTAAAGCACATCCGGTGCTGCAAACACTCAAAACCAATGACATACATCAATATTGTTTGGAGCGAACTAGAACAGGTAAGTCTCTGAGGTGATATTCTACTTTCTTACAAAAACACATCAAGAGCCAGAAAAGAAAGCACATTAAAATAAACACATCCATGTGCACAAATAGGCGCATGCTGAAACCCCACAGCTTCTGTCTGGCCATGGTATATTCATTTGTTTTTCTCTGCAAAGCCCATGTGGTAATAAATAATGTGGATCTGAGTAAAACGTGGGCAGGGTTGCAGTGTTTTATTCCCCTTTATGTCTGTTTTATTACTTTTTTCCTTATTTAAACTTTTAGATTTGTAGGCCACACAACTGACAAGTGTGATGTGTGTGTAAAAATCAAAAAAGTACATTTTATTGCAATGCTAGATGGATGCATTCATCATGGTCTGATCATTCTTGTCTGACTTGGTAAATAAAGAGTAATGTGCAGGTTTAGCTAACCTTGGTCTCCATGAAGGCAGGATTTCACTGGGCTGCCACTGTTGGAGACTAAATGGTGACAAAGTTACACGAAACCTGTGAGAAGATTAAACATTTTTGGTTGTAGTCTTACAGAATTCTGAGCATTAAGTGTAATTAGGTTGCAATTAAGCAACCAGTGAGTTGTGTGGCCAAATTTTGAATGGACAGTTTGTGATAACCAAAATCATTTTTGTGCACATTTTGCCAAACTGCATTCGTGGTCATGCACATTATTTTGTTGTCCACCTACCTCCACAACACTTGGCAGCCATCCCCATATACATAATTTACCATATTTTCCGTTGTACACATTGCACCGCCCTATAAATCGCATCAGTCCAAATATGTCTAATAAAGTGGAAAAATCCATAAATATGTTGCTTCGTCATATACGTTGCATCTTTTATGCGTCACCGCTGACAACCCAGAAATGTGGTCCGAACCTGGAAATGTGGACCGGTATTGTGCCAAAAATCGATTGGCTATCAAATGGCAGCTGCTGGAGCGTGCACGAGAGGACTTTATCAAGAATTTAACAAGATTAACATTTAAAAACAACTATTTGTTTGCTCGAAATTGTAGCAAATTTGTGTCTCAGTCTAACTTTTCCTTAATAAATGCACTTTAATGGTCAAATCAGCTGCATTTCAAATGCTGCCTCGGTGCTTTGGGAGCGCGCTCTGAGGGAGGAAATCTAGAACGAGGAACGCTGTGCATTTTTTCAAAATTTAACAAGATAAGCACCTAAAACAATTATTTGTTTGCTCGACATTATAGTAAAGGTTTGTCTCAGTTGAACTTTTACTTAATAAATGCACTTCAATGGTCAAATTAGCTGCATTTCATGGGGCGGTGCAACGAAATGAAGCTGATTTTGCTCCAGGCGAGCTGGATGAAGGTGGCAACTATGGCAAGCCGATTGCATCACTAATATCCAT